TCAAGTATAGGAACATGCATTATTTTTTACCCAATTTAAACACCCATGCTAAAGTCTAAACGTGGCTTTTCTACAATCGCCTCAAGGAAAAATTCTAGGCCATGGCCCTAAAGCTTATTCGGGACCCGGGGGATGTAAAAAGCGGAGGAGTTCCAAGTCCATTGTGTTTCTCGAGATCAGAACTAACTTGGAAACATCCTCACCAACATTGGGCATCATAAAGAAAAGGACAAAGCTACAAAATCTCAAAGATGTGACTATGTTCTGTAGAACGATGCTAACTTCGTCCAACGGACTCAGAATCAAGCGTTGTCGGTCTCGATGGAAAGAGGACTCCAAATCCTACACCCAGGAATGAAAACTCAGATATAGGAGCATGTATTATTTTTTTAACCAATAAAAACACCCATGTCGATGTCTAAACATGGCTTTTCTACAATCACCTTAAGGAAAAATACCAGGCTGCATGCCCTAAAGTTTGTCCGAGACATGAGGGACGTAAAAGGTGGAGGAGTACCTAGTCCATTGTTTTCCTCAAGATCAGAACTAACTTGGCAAAATCCTCACAAACAGTGGGCGTCACGGGGAAAAGGACAAAGCCATAAAATCTCGAACACGTGACTGGAATCAAGCGATGTCTATCTTGTTGGAAAGAGGACTCCAAATCATCCACCCAGGAAGAAAACTCAAATATAAGGGCAAGTATTAATTTTTTACCCAATAAAAACACCCATGTCGATGTCTAAACGTGTCTTTTCTACAATTGCCTTGAGGAAAAATTCTAGGCTGCGAGCCCAGAAGCTTCTTCGGTACCCGAGCGACATAAAACCAGAGGAGTCCTTAGTCCACCATGTTCCCCGTGATTGGACCTAACTTGGCAATATCCTCACCAACAATGGGCATCACGGGGAAGAGGCAAAGTCACAAAATCTCGAACACGTGGTTGGGTTCTGTAGAATGGCGCTAACTTCGTCCAGCAGACTTATAATTAAGCGTTGTTGGTCTTGTTGGAAAGAGAACTCCAAATCCTACACCCTAGGAATGAAAACTCAAATATAGGAGCATGTATTATTTTTTATCCTATAAAAACACTCATGCCGATGTCTAAACGTGGCTTTTCTACAACCGCCTCAAGGAAAAATTCTAAGCTACGGGCCCTGAAGCTTCTCCGGGACCCGAGAGACATAAAAAGCGGAGGAGTACCTAGTCCATTATTTTTCTCAAGATTGAAACAAACTTGGAAACATCCTCACCAACAATGGGCATCATGGGGAAAATGACAAAGCCACTGTTAGCGGTCCTTAACGATCATTTTCGACCGCCAATTAAGATACAAAAGGAGGAGAACTAGCATCACTTATGCATATATGTTATTATTATTAGCGTATTTCCATATGTATTGGAAGATCAATGTTTTGCATGACACATATGTGGAATACATGGAAATGAGGGAAAAATACGCAAACAGACAAAGCGTAAAGCAGATCTACGCAAAAGAATACAAGAGAAGGCCCACTCACCTGATCAACTTGGGCCCAAACCACCGAAGGAACACTCTAGTCTGGCAAGCAACCCACCACGCGAAGGCGGTGGCAAGGTGGGCTGGCCTAGGTACGGCCGCACCAGGGGTGCGTCTGCCCCCGTGCCGCCTCTTGGGTCCACCTTCAACACGGCGGTGCCATCAATGTGTGGGAGGTGGATTTGGGGAAGATTCCCTGAATATCCCCCAAAAACTGACCGGTTGAGATGTATAAGTAGGAAGGGAGAGCCCTGTCACAAAGACACACCTCAGTCAAGAGCTCTCTCACTCCACTTGTATTCTTTTTATATTTCTTAGTAGTTAGAGCTAGGAAGAAACTACCTTGGAGAGCTTGAGCAAGTTGAGCCTTTTGGTATGAATAATGTCAAAAGTTTCCTTTGTACTTCCTCTCATATTATCAATATAGCTATGCATTTGAAATAGAGATAAGTTCTTATGTTATTAGTTTAGCATATAGAACTTTATGCTTAATCTTTCATACAACATACATGAATAGATTAAGACCTAAGTTGAAGTGGTGAGTTCTACTTTAAGTTAGTCTTGTTCATTATTTACTTGCGAGTTCATTTTTCGTCCTTGTGATGAATACTCTAGTAAAGGGCCCTGATAAAGACGGATAACCCTGCACAACGCTAGAGTAGTAGTCGATAGCATAGACGTGGTGTCTAAGCTAGAGGTTACCTTCGTTTGCCTCGTGCCCCACGGTTGAGAGGTAGGTGTTGGTGGTGCTTAACTCCTATTTTCACCAACCAACTTTACATAAAATCTATACAAACAAACACCAAAACTTAGTAAATAGGATATATACTAACAAATTCCATGAGTTTTGGTGAGTTGATCATTTACAGGACACCTACTTGGAATACATGGAAAAAGGAGTCAAAGTGCGTAATCAAAAAAGCGTAAACACGGACTCTACATAAAGAATCAAGAGAGCAGCCCATCAAATTGACAAACCTAGGCACCAAACCAACGTAGGACTTTAGGCCCATCAGGAGATCCACCAGGCAAAGGAGGTGGCGAAGCAGGCCAGCCGGGGTGCCCAACCTTCGCGGGCCGTCTCACACCGCCTTTCTTTGGTCGGTTTAGGAGGTTTGACGGTACATTCAATGTAGAGAAGGGTGGTTTGCTCCTTCCATTTGAGGGGATCTAGGGAATATTCCAAGGAATACACCCCTCCTCTCCACCTATAAAAGAAGGCTCCCTCCTCCTCATTCAACAACACCTCAAGGTAAAGAGCACTCCACATTTAAGCAACACTCCAAGGTCTTAGGCCCTAGATAGCTAGCTAGAGTTGTAAGGGAGAGATGTGAGGGAGAGCTCAGGGAAGCACCATACTTGTTGGTGTCTCCCCATCTTGTACCTCGACAAACACGTGCACTATACTTCGTCGAGTTCTCCTGCTAAGTGAGTGTTTGTGATTCTTATGGTATAAAGTCTTTTGATTAGTTAAGCTTTATTCTTAATTGTTTGCGGGCTCGTCGTTCGTCCTCATGGCGGATACTCTAGTAGAGGGCTCCTAATAAAGATGGATCACCCTATACAGCGTTAGGGTAGTAGCCAATAGCGTAGACGTGGTGTCTAGGCTAGAGGCTACCTTCATTTGCCTCGTGCCCCACGGTTAAGGGATAGGCGGCAGGTGGTGATAGCCCTGTCCATCCCATGTAAACCTCCATGTTCAGATTCGACATAGAGCTACAGGCCGGTATCGCTTGGTAGACCAGGTATACACCGGTGCCCGAAGTGATCAAGTAGAAGCTATCCTTAGACCCTAAAACCATAGGAATCCATGTCTACCCTCTTCTAACTCTACCCTTGTATTGTCCTTGGATGAACTAGCTAGAAGAGTACCTCTATTCCCTGTGGAAAATACGATACCCTAAATACTTCCGGGTGAAGTGCTACAACGATAATTCCGTGCGCTTGCGGATTATTTCTGTTTGCGTTAAGAAATACCAACAAGCATTTCCGGTGCCATTGTCGGGCAACGATTGTTGTATTTTCTTCGAACCTAGTTCATCCTCATATTTGTATCTTTTATTTTTATAAAAACAAAAATATTTTCTTTTATCGTTGTTACCATGAAGCCTACACCAAATCCAACACTTTCCGCTTCAAAAGGGGAGTTCTCTGAGCCACTTTCAAAACCAAACCGTTCATCTAGCTAGGAACTCCACCCTAGTTTTAAAATCTATGGTTCGGGCACTACCCTTCTCAGGGCATGACAATGAAACCCCCTGCCAACACCTGCAAGAATTCGAGAAAATGTGTTCATGCCTGAGCATTTCTGGCATGACAAGAAACTTGTCGGTGTTTTTTACCAGCAGATACTTGGTTCTTGGGGAATCCTGCTTGGTGCGAAGAATAATCATAGTAGAGACATGAGATTTATACTGGTTTGGCCCCCCGAGAAGCGAGTAAAAGCCTTACGTCCAGTTGCTACTCTTGTATTGCTTATATTCGGCGAGATTGCGATTACAATGTAGCTATGCCTATGAGAGAGTCGATGATTACAACAAGGGGATTTGCTAGCTATTTATATCTGGGATCAACTTGCCCTACAAGCTAAGGAGTTGTGCCCTAGTCGAAGTCTTGGCGCAATTCGGAGATATCCTTCAACGGATAGGGTCGTTATAAGCCTTCGGGTCTTCTCTAATCCGGAGTTGGTAGTCGGCAAATACGGAAGTCAGGATACCCGGGGGTATGACATCGACATAAGCCCCTAAGCTTGTCTGTCAAACACAGCCTAACAGCTTGCAGATAGTCAGGGGCGTGTTAGTCAGGTGGTTTGTAGTTCGGGTTCCAGGGAGGAAGCTGGGGTAACCAAGTGTGACTCATGGCCCGATCTATGCAGATCGTAGTTGGTGCGCTGTTGAGAGATGAGCTTGATCAAGTGCCATCCCCAGGGTGTCTTGTCTTGTCAATCCCGCTTCACATGCAAGCCAGGGGACGTGTAGTCGTATGTCAGTCGAAGCGCTGGCTTGGCTCCCCATGAGTGTGCATGGTGGAGAAATAGTTCCTTTTTAATTAGGACGACGATTCAGATTCCTAGGTACACGGCTTAGTCCTATTTAGTCAGGTGCGCGTGTTTGGAATTCGCAACCTCCATCCCCCAATCTTTTCAGCAAGATGAGGAAAAAGACCGCCAGCTGCAAGCGCCCCTGCAAGGTGCCGCGCCTATTGCTCGCCAACTCGCCCGGCCGATTGGCCACGGCGGCGTTGTCGATCAATGTGTCGTCGTCCCCGGCGTTGGCGCCCACGTCTCCATCCCTAATGACCTCCGGAGCTCCAGCGTTGGTGGAGCCACTGCCACTGGCCTCGCCGTGGGGGTCTGCAGCCCCAGCACTCCTAGGTAGGGAGGCTGGGGTCGATGAAGATGCCCCGCCGGGGGCTCTGGAGTTGCTCTCGGCCAAGCCGGAGCCCTCTTCGCCGGGAGGAGTGATCGAGCTCTCCGACAAGGATGAGCCCAGCCCCGCCAGTCGTGGTTGCTCCTGCCGCCCCGGTCCTCCCCGTCGTCCCCACCATCCTCGACGTCCCTGGTCCCTCGTCTCCTCGTGCTACCGGCCCGCTAGACACAAACTGCGACGCAGAGATCGTGAGGAAGCTCTTCGTCGAGCTGAACCGCGAGGCCCTCGACGTCCTGGCAGACGACGACCTGGTGTTCCTCAGCAGCGATGACGAGGAGGACGTCGTTGAAGAGGGGAAAGTCGGCGAGGAGGAGAAGGATGGCGCCACGGGCAGCGGTGGCTCATCGAGGGACAGCCAGGCTGCTCCCATCTTGTCAGCGAGCCCTTAAGGAGCTTGGTGACGATTGGAGGTGGCGCCTGACATGGCCGGCTTAGCTTAGAGTTTTAGTTTATCCATTTGTAAATCCACTCTAGAACGAACCATCAATGGAATGATTTTTGGCATAATATTTCTTTGTCCCCAAGTCCTTTAAATTGCCCTGTGTTCGAGTAGCCGCGAGCAAGGCCGCAGCATACTTTACACGCAGATGCAGTCTAAAGTCGGGGTGTTTTTCTTGTGCTGCCTTTGGCAAGTTGAATCAGCCCCGAGCAATAATCGGGCTAAATTCTTGCTCGTTAGAAAAGCAGGCGAGATATTTTGATGCATATATCATCCATAGGATACAAAATCGGTTCTTTTTATTGTGGGAATAAAAAGAATGATTGTTTTCCTTGTGAATATCGGCGAGCGCGGCAATCTAGGTGAGCAGCCCGGCTGCCGAGCATTTTTTCGGGGATCGTGCGCGTTAGGCGGCCATTTTACCCCTCACCCTGCTTCGATGGCAACTACTGTGCCTATTCTCCCACTCCCCATTTCAAATCTGCTTTTCGCCTTTCTACTCCCTTTCTTTTTCCGTCTTCTGCCTTCCATCATGGCTTCAAGCTCCCAGCAAACCCTAGGATCTGCAGAAGACACCAATCGTGCTAGCGCCGAGGCGGCGGAGCCCCGAGTACTGGTGCAACCGAAGATCGAAGAGCCCGAGGAGTTGGCTGAGCCAGCGGATACGCCAGTCGTCGTCGAGCCCCACCAGTACTGGGACGTCTCAGACGCTGAGGCGGCGCGGGCTACTTCCAAATTTTTATCCTTTCATATATACTTCGAAAAAATGTAACTCGATGCTTCTATAATCTTTTTGCATCTTGCTCCACAATTACGATAACTATTATCAAAGATTGGTATTTTCGCCCGGCGCAATGCGCAGGGGATCTGCCTAGTTATTAACTGCTCTCATCCTGTCAACAGTAGTTTCTTCCGCATTTGTATTCGTATGGTGGAAGGGGAAAAACATATAAAAGAGAATTTATCGAATTCATATAAAAGAGGAAAACTCATTATGACATATCTCTAGTATTTGATTGTTGTGCTGATCTGGACAATTTGCAAGCATTTTACAGCAACTGAATAATCATTCTTTTACTCCACAAAAGAAGCATCAAGCATGACATTCCGCATGAGCACAGCATGCAAGTTTGTTGCTACATCTCCAAAAAAACAACCAAAACGTTACAAGGTACTACTAGATAACTACATCATTCATCATCCACCAATCCCCCCTCAACTAGGGTTGCTTCCTCTACAGCAGCACAGCAAGGAACCAACCCAACACAGCACAACCTATGTTGTTCACCAAAGCCCGTAGGCGCTGAAGTGCTTCACCCTGAACTTCCACTCTCCCTTGGCCGCGTTAAATGACACGAACTCTGCGCCCTGCTCCTCCGCTTTCTTCACCAGCATCTCCCTGTACCTGTCCACCCTCGGACCCTCGTGGTACTGCTCTCCCGTCTTCTTGTTCATGCACTTGATGTTCAGAAGAGTCACCTCCGCAGCTTTGTTCAGCCCCTCGCCCACCGCTGGCTTCTTGCTGTCGTCCTTGTACACTATCACCTCCCGGATGTTGAACTCCACGATTGACTCCAGATCCAGGCCCCTCACGTCCGTCTCCCCCAGGAACTTGATGATACCGTAGCCATGGCGTCCAACCACAAAGTCCCTCACCCGACGGCAGTACCCTGGCTTGGCACGTTCTTTGGCCGCAAGCTCCTCCACACTAGGCTCTGTGAAGTAATCTCCCTGCGGGAGCTTAGGAATCAGCCTCTCAACTGAAGTGACGCTACCACTCCCCTCCTGGGTCACAGCCTTGGGCTCATGGCGACTGCCATTTTCCACCAGAGAAGGCCTGCTACTTGGAGCCATGGCAGCCTTGTCACGCTCACTTTCTGCAGAAGCATCTGCACCGCTAAATTAGATACTGAAATTTGCACTTAGGGTCAAATACGAAGTCCAGTACCGTAATGTCAGGATTTACCTTTATATCTCTCCAAATCAGCTGAATCCTTTGGAACCGATTGCCTGTCAGTTCCATTCCGCGAAGGCCACTGATCAATTGGACGAATTATCAGATTCCTCGGGTTCTCTCTAGGAATGAAAAAGGCATCCGCTTTTGGTGTTGCAGGAGATACTTCCTCATCAGCGAAGAAAGGTACCTACAGGAATAATGAAAGGAAATCGGCACATTCAATCATTTCTTAATGGCTTTCACAAGTTTTATGAATCAATCATAAAACAAAAAACTTAGCACACAAATTTACCTTGCCATCAGATATCGGATTATATTTCCTTGGCAGCAATTTTATCCTTCTCTGTGGCAAATGCCTAGGAACCACCATGGACAATGTTCTACTCGGAAGAGGCTTCTCAGCAACCTGCAAGACACAAAATATTGCAATCAAACCAATGACCTTTCCTTATGCACCTGCCCATAGCACCCTTAGTACCACATGTTCCTCACAAACAACCACCGTCTTGCCACCTTACTGTCCACCCACTCATATAAAAACAATCGAAAATACTAAAGAAAAGATAAAACTAACCGGCAAACTTGATATCCCATATTGAACCGAAGGGGATGATCCACCATTCCCAATGGACATTTGAGGCATCGCTGGAAGTGTCCCAAATGGATTTGAAACAGGAGCAGGCTGCATGACCATACTGGACAGGCTAGGAGTTCTGTCCAAAAATGAACAAGATATGCCATGTTTAAATAAAAAAATAATTCATCACGATAGAGAAATGTTAGAATCACATGTGATGCCTTGAGACTGCCGTATGGTTATTTTGTCTCTGTAGTCTGAGAAAGATTAAGCATGCATATTGAGTAGTAGAAAAAGAACATACTGCTGTGCAACCAGGGCCTGATTCGTAGTGTTGGAAAAACCAGGGAATCCACCTGTAGAAGCTATAGTATCCATACATCATGCATTTGAACAAAATTAGGTTAATGCACAAACTAGTTTTTGAAGATAAATTATAAACAGAAGAGAACGATTTGGATACAAAATACTAACCTGGTTGAATAGGAGATTGGAACGAGAACATGTTTGACGTTTGAGCAGGGGCAGATGGCTGAAATGTTGGATTAAGCGATTAACAAAAAAAAAAAGAACTTGTGAACTTTGCAAACCAAAAAGATATACAAAAATAAACTAAATATGATAACAATGATCTAGTCTGACATATGAAAAATAAAATGCAAGGGATGCTCACTGTTGAAAAAAGTGAAGGTCCGCTCCCAAACAGACTGCCAGAGCTAGGTGTGCCGAATAGGCTTCCAGAGAAAACCGGTGTACTTGATGGCTGCAGTGCTGGGGTAGATTGAAATAGTGGGGCTGACTGAGTGTTACTCAACGGCAAACCAGTGCCAAATGGACTTGAGTTATTTGCTGTTGATGAGCCAAATAACGAAGATGTAGCAAAAGCAGAAGTGGTATTTGCAAACAAAGATGGTGTGCTACTTGCTGGAAATGCAGAAACGCCTGTTTGTCCAAACATTGCAGTACTAGTGGAGGATGTGAATGGGCTCGAACTTGCAGCTGATGTAGTGTTAAATGAGGTGTTGAATAGTGACGTACTAGTAGCGAAACCAGTTGAAGAAGGCTTAGAAGCAAATGGATTTGATACAGAAGGGTTCGGATTTGGAGTAATTTGGTTAGGATTAAACGGATTCGGTTGCGGTAATTGAAAGCTGGGGGTCGCTGCTGGAGTTCCAGCAGGATTTGGTCCACCTGCAAGTCCAAACAGTAAGAATTTTACACATATTTTACAGGCACAAGTTACATAGATCAAATACATCTAGCAATAATAATAATAATTAGTGAAGGGCACAGAAGCATCAATTGTTTTGTTAATTATTTCTATTTAGGTTTGTGCGGTGCATAGGCTAGGGCATAATAATTAATTGGTTACTCCAGTTCATACAAAAATAAGCATGATAAAAGAATACATGGAATTAAACATATGATTTAAAAGAGGGTTTGTAAATCAAACTAAGTACTGAATTCAAAAATGATTTGCCTCACCTTTGTCTCCACGCTGGTAATCTTCCCACCTCAGTTCTTCATGGCTCTTGTCTTTGTATTCAGGCATTGCTGAAATTGAATCAAGTTTTCCAGCAGGTTGAGTACCACTTGTAGTACTGTCAGCATCTGGTGTTTGAGCATAAGGTTTTATCCTGGTCCCTCCAGCTTGATTACCAAATTGTGCTTGCCCAAAACTTGGTGCTGTCTGTGAGCCTGAAAGTCAAAAGGAAACAGTGTTTGTGAGCCTGAAACTCGAAAGGAAACAGACAAACTGGTGAAACAAGTAAAAGATGACATGGACAGAGTAAAAACAGTAAAAAGGGAAAGATCTGCAATAAAATAGCATTGCTGAAGTAAGAATGAACAGAATAATCTGCAAATACTCATCTGAAGAGGACAGTTCAGTGAGGCATAGTCAAAGCTAGCTAAGATAAAATGTGAATGTCCAATGGGAAAACCTACCAAATGGAGAAGTCTGCACGCTAAAAGCTGATGGGGTTGTTCCAAAGGGAGAGCTACCAGATGAAACCGCTGTTTGCCCAAAAGATGGTGAAGAGCCAAAACTGAATGCACTAGTGGTGCCAAATGAAGGAGTGCTCGAAGATCCAAAACCTGGAGTACTACTTACTCCAAATGCTGTGGTGCCTGTAGATCCAAAAGCAGGAGATGAACCAAAGGTTGTAGAGCCAAATGCCGGGGTGTTGGAAGCACCAAATAAAGATGATGACGTTGAACCAAATGCTGGGGTAGTCGTGGCACCGAAGGCCGGTGTACTTGATGTGCCAAAGGCTGGTGTAGTGGTTCCGAATGCCGGTGCAGTTGTGGCACCAAATGCTGGCGTAGCTGTGGTACCGAATGCCGGAGTAGCTGTGGTACCGAAAGTGCTGCTGCCAAATGTTGGTTGCGTTTGCTGGAACGTGCCACCAAAAGGACTCGACTGGCTAGGAGATGATCCAAAACCCCCAAAACTTGGCTTCTGTCCGAATAAAGATCCTACAACATATGCAGAGCAGAGTGTGACATCAGATATACCACACCACTGTTGGTATAAAGAAAAACAAATCTCATGAGGGCATCCTAGTAGTGGCGCTGAATTGAGATATAACAATTGTTGCATTCAGTATCAGAAAGTAATGAAAAAAAAGTGAGCATCAAACTTTCATCCTTATTATGCAATCTAGAAATAAAGCAGCCTTAGAACTCCTAGGACAATCAACATGGTGATCTGACAAGAGAATACAGAAATAGAGAATGCATGAGACGTACCAGAGCCAAAGGTAGAGGATGTAGCACCAAATGCAGGGGTGGGCGATGCACCGAAAGCTGGCGTGGAGATCCCGAATGGAGAGGAGGAAGGGGTGCCAAATGTGGGAGTGGATTGCTGCTGGCCAAGGGCGCCGGTGGACGTAGTGCCGAATAGCGAGCTTCCAGTCTGTGCCCCGAAAGTGGTGGTCGGGCTGCCAAATGGCTTTGGTGCGAACGGATTGTTGGTGGCAGTAGTAGGAGTAGTAGGAGTAGTAGGCTGGCCAAATCCCTGCTGTGCTCCAAATGAGGTTTGGCCGAAAGGGCTGGTGGACGACTGCCCGAATGCTGCAATGAAGATAGCACACAGGACATGAGTAATTAGTGATGATAATAGGAATAATAGCATTTTTATTTTTGCAAAAGTAAATAAAAGGAGTTGTGAGCAGTGATGAAAGGGGTCGTGACAAGTGAAACTACGTATGTATGTGTTAAGAGAGTCCCTCTAAAGGTGTAGCAGTATAGCCTGGTCCATGAATCCTCACATGTTTGCACTAAAATTGAAACTACCCTAGACCTGTGGTAGCGATTCGATCGAAATCGGGAAACGGAGTGTAACCCTAGCGTGCGTAGACATCCATGAATAACCGAATCGAATCGAAAAGGATGTGGAGGAAGCGCAATAGAGGATGAGCGAGCGAGCGAGCAGAGCAAGGCCAGGGGGCACCCAGCGGGGGGGGGGACGCAGGGAGAGAATAAGGGGATGCTTACGGCTGGTGGAGCCGAACATGGCTGCTGCTGCCGCTTCTTGTTCTTCTTCTTCTCGCGTGAGGAAGGCGGCGCTGAGCTGCGGGAAGGGAATAGTCGATCACCGGCGGCGGCGGCGCGGTGTTGTCCGGCCTCTCCTCCTCCTTCCCCTTTCCTTCCGGTCTCTTGAGGATACGATCTCTCTGTCTATCCCCTGTCAATGAAGGGTGGGGCTCCTCCTCCTGCTGGTTGCGTTGCGCCGCGGTTTTTATCTTTCTTTTGCCTCTCCTGTCCAACCGCCGCTCCTCCGTGCCGCGTCTAAGTGGTAGCGTGGCTTCAACGCAGGCCGGAAAGGAATTACGAGGCCCAGCTCAACACAATGCTGCGCTGTTGGGTTGGATTGGCCCGACAAGGCGGGGCTTCTCTCTTTCCTTCATCTATTTTGATTTTCCAACCATTTCCGTCCGCCACGTCATAATGCTTTGGTGTCATGTGTCCACGTTGGTACGCGACAGGGAATGAAGGAACCCGGTTGTGGCACACATACACGTCACTGTGCAGAAATTTTTTGAAAGGAATATATCTAATTTGCCCCTCATGCATTAAGGTTTGTCTATCTATAACCTACAAAAATATTAAACCAGATATCAAATACCCTAAGTATTTTTTTAGAAAAACACCCTAAGTATTAAACCAGATATCAAATCCCATAAAGTATTAAACATTGTCTAAATAACACAATTGAGCAATTTTGAAGGTTGTTTTGCCTACGTGGTGAATGATGAGGACAACAACGTGGCATGGCTCTAAATCACACTTTTTTCCCTTTTTTTCTTCTCCCCCCTTTCTCTCTTACGCTATGGTCCTACCCGTCATTTTATTCCTTGCTTTCTGACCTTCCCATTCTCATACCGAAGCAGCAAAGTCAACACTCGCCAAACTGAATTTAACATCTTTAAACGCGCTGGCCTCGGAAGGCAACTGATGAGGACATCACTCCTTTGGATGTACCAGCTGATCCTCCAACCGTCATGCAAGGTCCAATGACCCGGGCTCGAATGCGTCAACTCAATTTACAGGTGAGCTCGTTCTTAAGCGATCCTTTTCATACTTTTGAGAATAGACTACTACCTAATGATGTTATCTTGCTTAGGAACATTGGAGAGGATCAAGAGGGACTAAGAGGACGTGGAGGTGATGATGACCAGCAAGGACGTCCAACACAAGCCGGAGGCCCAGTCCAACACGAATTCGAGTCTGCCTCGGCCTCCAGGACCAGTCTGCCTTAAACTGGTCGCCCAAGACGCATCCGGACTTCGTTTTCGATGATCCACATATGGATGGAAAGCTAATTTGATAAGGAAACCAATCCAAGTGGTTTCATGTCAAAAGCTGTTCGGAATCAACGGGAATCGTCGAAATAAGTCAGCGTCCAGAATCTGCTGTGGTGTCGCGACATCGTCTTTTGGTCCGTTGGACCATGTATCGAAGTTTGGGCCCATTAGGGGCGCGGCCAGAAGGTCTTGCACGACCCTAGAGTCTTCATAAACAGCTGCCGCCCCTCCATTAGGGGTTTGGGTTTTGCTTAGATTATTCTCAAGAAGCAGTTTCGCCGTTCTTGGTTTGTGAGACCCCAACTCGTGAGATTAATCATACATTTGCAATTTGGTTGCGATCTTTCTTGTTCTTGCTTGTGTTCTTCGTTATGCGAGGCGGGGATTAGCCTTCTTGGCGAGGTCAACTGGTCCGTGACTCGGTTGATAACCAGAGGAGCTGTGATGCTAAGATTGCAGGGTTCGATCTTTCGATCTGAAGCCGGATCGGTGTGCCATTCTCCGCCACAATGATAGTTACCATCACCTGACGGAAGATCGGGATCCCCGTCTCCATTAAGTGGTTTCAGAGCTAAGGTATACCGTCAGGTTCACATTTATTCCCTCGTTTGAGTGTTTCGCATTCGTCCCATAGTCCAGTGCCATACTTGTTTTTCCTGTCCTAGAACCTTCCGCGCCATAGCCTTTGTATATTTCAGTTTCAGAGTCCGTCGTGTTGAGTTTGTGTCCTGGTCGAGGTCTTGTTGCTGGTTAGGTCGTGTTAGAGTCCAGTTCGTGTGTTTTCTCCCATCGTTTCCATCAAATCTTGGATGTTGTGACCAATTTTGCACACATTGTTCCCGTTTTGTCCTCTAATTCGGAGCCAATTCTTAAAATTGGTCTAGTTTTCGCATACCAACTCCGTTTTTTACGTTCCATATATGCAAATCGATCAGAAAAAAATTTCGGATCCGTCCATCACCGGCTATGCCGGGGTTCGGAATTTTTAGATTGGCCAAAAAGTGGTCACAAGATCCTCGTTTCGTGGTCACAAGGTTTTTGTCAATTTTCATCCAGTTTTCTGAAAATTCCATAGGCCACGTCTTACACTTGTTTGCGCTCATATTTTTTGTGGTTACTGCTTTTGTGCTCCTAAGTAAAGGAAAAATATCAAAAAATAAAATAAAAAGTCGAAATTTCCCAAAAAAACAACGACAGCCCAAAAAATAGAAAAAAGAGAGGGGCAAAAGAGGAACAATATCTAGAGGAGCATATAGAGAAGCCCAAAGTGAGTCAGGTTGTGTTTGTCAGTGTGTTTCTCTGGTTCCTTGTTTGTGTTGCAGTTTCCATCCACCATACTTGTTTTTCTCATACCTATCACCTTGCTATCCACCATACTTTTGTCATAACCTGGTACTTGCAACACTTTAGACCAGCAACGAGAATAAGTACTTTGGACTATAATTCAGCATTACTTTCTATTACTGACTTGTGTGCCAAATATACATATTACTCTTTGTTTGCCTCATCCGTTGCATCGACGGGACGCACTTGCCGGGTATTCAGATTGCCACACCGCCATGGCATTGGCCATGTGCGGAAGGATTGCCCAAGTCGTGGGCATATATTGCTACTGAAGATGGTTACATCAAGCACCTCGACATTGAGGATGAAGAAGACCAAGATGCGAGATGAGGAGGACGGCGAAGTCCTTGGTGGCGAGCCCACGGCGTCCTATAGGAGCATTATTGTACAATGGGTGCTCACTCACAAGTCCAATGACTGAGAAGCTACTAACGCCATAACTTGTTCTAGATTTTCTTCGTCATCATGACCGACCGTCGAGCACGTGTCATTATTGATGGAGGTAGCTGCAACAATTTGGTGAGTTCGATTTGGTCAAGAAGCTTAGCTTGACCACATGCCCACACCCACGCCCCATATCATATTCGGTGGCTAAATGATTACGGTAAAGCAAAGGTAACACAAACTTGCGAGTTTCATTTTCCATTGGTTCTTATCTTTGATTACATTGATTGTGATGTGGTACCTATGCAAGCTTGTTCACTTTTATTGGGTCGTCTTTGGGAACATGATAATGATGCTACACACCATGGTAGAAGTAATAAATACACTTTTGTGCATAAAGGAAAGAAAATTACTTTGGTACTTTTGACCCCTGCTCAAATTGTAAAAGGCGATAGAGAACGCTGTTTTGCTAGTTTGAATGATGTTCAATCTGAAAATCAGCAAGTTGCTAATTCTATTTTCCCACCTAAAAAGGATAAGTCTACATCTATTTCTAAAATTTGAGGGATTAAATTGAAGGGTGGTGTTATGCTTGCAACAAAATGTGACTTTGCTGAAATTTCTGTTGATGATATTTGCTATGCTTTGGTATGCAAGCGAGCTATGTTTTCACTTGATGATATTGTTAGCTCGGTACCTCCTGCTATCACTAACCTTTTACAGGAGTATGAGGACATTTTTCCAGCTAAGATACCCCGGGGCTGCCACCTATGAGAGGATAGAGCATCAAATCGATTTGATTTGGGGAGCGACCTTGACCAACCGAGTTGCATATCAGAACCAATCACGAGGAGACTAAGGAAATTCAGCGGCAAGTCCAAGACCTTTTGGACCTTGGGTATGTAACGTGAAAGCCTTAGTCCTGTGCCGTTCTGTACTGTTTTTTGGTTCCTAAGAAAGATGGAAGTTGGCGTATGTGTGTTGATTGTAGAGCCATCAATAATATTACTATTCGGTATCGTCATCCTATTCCTAGGCTAGACGACATGCTTGATGAGTTGTGTGGTTCTATAATTTTCACTAAGATTGACTTATGAAGTGGCTACCACCAGATTAGAATGAAACTTGGAGATGAATGGAAAGCGCATTTAAAACCAAATTCGGGTTGTATGAGTGGTTAGTTATGCCTTTTGGTTTGACAAATGCACCTAGCACTTTCTCGCGCTTAATGAATGAGGTTTTAAGAGTTTTTATTGGTCATTTTGTGGTAGTTTACTTTGATGATATATTGATTTACAAAGCAAGTCTTTTGATGAACATATGGATCACTTACGTGCTGTTTTTAATGCCTTACGTGATGCACGTTTATTTGATAACCTTGAGAAGTGCATCTTTTGCGCGGATCGAGTTTCTTTTCTTGGCTATGTTGTAACTCCACAGGGAATTGAGGTGGACGAGATGAAAATTGAAGCCATAAAGAGCTGGCGGTTCCCTAAACCGTCACATGTGTGAGGAGTTTGTCGGGGTTGGAATTTTAGATTGGCCAAAAAGTGGTCACAAGATCCTCGTTTAAGTGGTCACAAGGTTTTGTCAATTTTCATCCAGTTTCGAAAATTCCATAGGCCACGCGTCTTACACTTGTTTGAGCTCATATTTTACGTAGTTTATTGCTTTTGTGCTCCTAAGTAAAGGAAAAATATCAAAAAATAAAATAAAAAAGTCGAAATTTCCCAAAAAAAACAACGACAGCCAAAAAAAATAGAAAAAAAGAGCGGCAAAGAGGAACAATATCTAGAGGAGCACAGAGAAGCCCAAAGTGAGTGTGTTTTTGCGTGTGTCTTTGTCTGGTTCCTTGTTTGTGTTTGTTGTTTCCATCCACCATACTTGTTTTTTCTCATACCTATCACCTTGCTATCCACCATACTTTTGTCACAACCTGGTACTTGCAACACTTTAGACCAGCAACGAGAACAAGTACTTT